CCCCCAAACTTAAGTACAAGTACAGAGATAAAGTAACTCACCCAAACGTAAGTACAAGTACAGAGATAAAGTAACTCCCCCAAACTTAAGTACAAGTACAGAGATAAAGTAACTCACCCAAACGTAAGTACAAGTACAGAGATAAAGTAACTCCCCCAAACTTAAGTACAAGTACAGAGATAAAGTAACTCACCCAAACTTAAGTACAAGTACAGAGACAAAGTAACTCACCCAGACCTATGTACAAGTACAGAGAAAACGTAACTCACCCATACTTATGTACAAGTACAGAGATAAAGTAACTCACCCAGATTTTGGTACAAGTTTAGAGATTAAATAGCCTCCGCTGAATTTGCAACAAGTATAAGGGTAAAGTAACTCGTCCAGATATTGTTCTAAGAGTTTAGTAAGAGTCATAAAAGCACAAAGATGAAGTAGATTCCCCTTGATATTGTTCAGAGTATCCTACAAGTATAAAAATGAAATAAATCCCAAATTGTTCAGAGTATCCTATACGTACAAAGATGAAAACAGTAGATCCTCCTGATATTGTTGAGAGTATCCTGCAAGACTATGAGTTGAAGTAGATTACCCATACGTAGCTACAACTGTCACAAGTACAGACATAAAATAACTCACCCAGATAATGCTACGAGTAACCTACAAGGATGAAGAATATCCCCCCTGTTATTGTTTAAAGTGTCCTATTAGTAGGACGGGGACTTAGATCCCCCTAATATCATTCAAAGTATCGTACAAGTACAAAGAGGAAGTAGACCCGCCTGCTATAGTTCAAAGTATCCTGATATTATTCAGAGTGCCCTACAAATACAGAAATAAAGTAGATATCCCTGATTATTAAGAGTATCCCACAAGTACACAGACGAAGTTGTTCCCCTAACATTGTTCAGGGTATCATACTAGTGGAAAGATGTATTTGATCCCCCTGATAGGAGGGGGGAGGAGGAGGAGGAGGAGGAGGAGGGGAGGAGGAAGAAAAAGATATATTCATACATAATATAATATGTGCTTGTGTATGTGTATGGTTGAATATTTTTATTGTGTAATTATATCCCCAATATATATATATATATATAGGTTTAGATCAACAGGTTATGTTATTGGAGGGGGGGGGTGAGGTCATAATATAAAATGTGTCATGGAAACACGCCTGGTTGGTTTTGAGGGACTTGGGTAATTTGCCTCATTAACCCGAAATATCCTACACGTTGAGAAAGGAAGTAGCTGACCCAGAAATTAAGCACAGCAATGTCTGTGTGTTATAAAACACGCACATCGACACCTTAACTCATTGAGGAAGCGCACTTTGGTCCTTCGCCAACGCTTGAAAACGTCCTGTTTTGGATCACTTTTAAAAGAAACTAAACTTCTTCATTCATACCGATTATTTCTGTTCTCTTTTTAAAGGCAAGAAACAACATGAACACTATGAAAAAAGAAAATTCCTGTTTCTGATATATCTATGTGTTTTAAGGTTCCAAACGTGGACCAACATTACTTTTGGTATTCTGCTTATCAGAAATAATATTATTGGCATCTACGTTTGTAAAGAGTTGAAATTTATTTAGACGAGAAGAAGAGGCAAGAAATGCTGTACAGACGAAAACTAAAATGGACAAAAATGTAATATTATGGCTCTATAGAAGAACCCTCCAACAACCCACGATTAAAAACTTAGCTCAGAATGCCATACAAGTACAGAGATAAAGTAACTCACCCAAACGTATGAACAAGTACAGAGATAAAGTAACTCACCCAGACCTATGTATAAATACAGAGAAAAAGTAACTCACCCAAACTTAGGTACAAGTACAAAGATAAAGTAACTCACCCAAACGTATGTACAAGTACAGAGATAAAGTAACTCCCCCAAACTTAAGTACAAGTACAGAGATAAAGTAACTCACCCAAACGTAAGTACAAGTACAGAGATAAAGTAACTCCCCCAAACTTAAGTACAAGTACAGAGATAAAGTAACTCACCCAAACGTAAGTACAAGTACAGAGATAAAGTAACTCCCCCAAACTTAAGTACAAGTA